TTGTGCCTTGGACTTGTGTGGGGAGGTGGGATGTGGTGGTGGCAGTGGGGGGTTATGAGGATGAGGGAGCAGGTTTCTGGCTGTGGGTAGCAGTTGCTCTCAGGAGGGTGGTGAGCTGGGGGTTACTGTGGTGTGAAGAGTAGTTCCCAGCCTGGCAGAGCGGGTTCATGCCATGGAGGTGTTGTGGTGCCAGCTGAATGTGCCTTGGGTTCCTGCTGTTGCTGCGCTGTGGGACACAGCTGCTCACTTCCCCTCATGCCTCTTGCTGCCTGTGTGTGGGGCTGGCAGTGCAGGGAAGATGGGGCTGTCCTCGGGGGTCCAGCAGTGCAGGCAGGATGGGGCTGTGCTCAGGGCTCCAGCAGTGCAGGCAGGATGGGGCTGTGCTGGGGTGGGGGTGTGCTGGGGGCTCCAGCATTGCAGGCAGGATGGGGCTGTGCTGGGGGCTCCAGCAGTGCAGGCAGGATGGGGCTGTGCTCCCCCTCCATAACTGGGGCTTGACTTCACCATTGAGCGCTCAGGTGGTGTGTGGTGAGCAACACTGGTGAGCACACTCCCTTCTCTGCGGGGTCCCTGGGCAGGCAGTGGGTGGGCAGCTTTGTCACCCTGCCTCTCCTCTCTCCCAGCAGGTTTGGCACATGGAGGAACCCAGAATCTCAGCTTCAAGAAGAGTGCACATGACTTTGTACGGAGCTTTTCCCGATAGTCCACTACACTCATTGTATAACCTTACACCTTGATTGAATGCCTTTGGTCACTAAGCTTTGCGTCTGACTCTTCCTCCTTGTATCGTGTTTTTATGTCTTTTTAAACTATACGCCATAAACCTCAACTCTTTTTGGGTCAAGTTCTTGATCTTATTTTTTGTTCCAGGTGTAGATGACGTTTCACCGGTAGCTCGCGGGTGGGCTGACCTTAGCTAGGAGTCGTTTGAACAAAAGGAAACCTGGTAGTTACTCGTTTTGGTGCAGATCTCTAATGGTGTTTTTTCAAACCAGAAATTGCTGCTGCTGTAAAAGCCATAGCAGAGTGAGGCTGTCGAGGCTGGATGGATGCGGAGAGCAAAGTAGTGCTAGGATTGTGTCTAGGAACCCTGCCTGGAACTGGGGTGGTGAGGGAGCAGGGCAGCCTTGCCCTGTCCCCTGGGAAGGGCTCAGCATCACTGCCAGCACCGTGGGTTTGCTCCTGGGCAGGGGGGCTGCTCTGCCCCTGCTTCACCCTGCCAGCTCATGGTGAACCTTCCCTCCCTCCCCACCACAGCCCTCTTGGATTTATGGAGATGGCTTTCCATCAGAGTTCCACCACACCCTGAATGTCCAGTAGCTTCTTTAAAGGAGAACAGCAGACAATGGAAGGTGCTGCCTACAAGGGGAGTGGTGGGGCTGGTGGGGTCAGCTCAAAGGAAGTGCCCCTGTCCCCTCTCTCCCCCTCTCTGGAAAGGAACCATCAGGCCCCAGTCGTGCCTGGTCTGAGCACACCTGACCGCTCTCTCCTGACACCTGATGCTGGTCATCACTGCTTGGCTGGTCTCACAGGCTGCGTTGCTTCCCCGCTGCTGTCCTCTGCCCCCTCCCCCTGCTAGTGATTTGGTAAGAGAAACTGCCCTTCACTTCCTCCTCCACCGCATAAAGGTATCAAGTTTTATTATTGCAATAAAAATGCTTTATGCTGGCTTTTCTCAACCCTGTGTCTTGGAGGTTTTTCTGCCTGTCTGTCGCTGGGATCACGGGGTGCTGTGGGTGCTGGGAAGCTGTGCTGGGCTCACGGGGTGCTGGGGTGCTGTGCTGGGATCATGGGGTGCTGGAGCAGCTGGAAGGAGTGGCCTCTGGCTGTGCTGGCTTGCTTTGGTGCTCGAGACTCTGGTGCTTGGCCCTGGGAGCACAGACAGACGCCTGGGGCTCACTGGGTGCTGTGGGAAGGTGATGGTGCCCTGCTGGAATTTACAGAATTAATTGTCTTACCATAACTTGCCCTCGCAGCCTCTCAGGCTGTGACTTGGCCTGGGCTGGGAGCACAAAGAGCAGATGGATGCTGCTCCCAGGGTCCCTCCAGCTCCAGGGGGACATTGATACCTCTGTGTATTGATTTCAGTCCCCTTGGGAGGTTGGCCATGGCAACCTGTGACACAGCTTGTCCGGCAACCACTATGTGCAGGCCAGACCACCATGGACCCTCTTAGTGATCTGGGCACCAGCCCCCCCACCCAACAGCCTTTGCTGTGTTTGCCACGGTCGATAACGCAGTGAGTCCCAATTCCTGAGTGGTTTGTTGGGAGCAAAGTTTGTGTTTGACAGGGGCCAGGAGAGGCTGGGAAAGAGCAGCCGTGGGGCAGGAGTGGCTCTGCCTCCCAGGCTGCACTGGGGAACAGCAGTGTTTGCACAGGATCGGGGCCAGGCTGTGCAGAGGGTAGCACTACCCTTAATTGCTATTCAATTAAGCAGAAAAAGGAGCTTCTGGGGCAGCAGCATCATGCTCTGCCCTCTGCTGCAACCCCTTCTAGATGGAAACTGGAGGCAAGCTTGGGTTTCTCTTTCTGCAAAGCTTTTTGCTTTAATTATTAACCAGAGCCATGCAGAGCTGTGGCTCCTGGCTGGAGCTAAGCCAGGGCCCTCGGGGCCAGCAGTTGCCCCCCTGCCCCCAGCTTGCAGCCCCCACAGTGGCTCCCATGGCACACACTAGTGCCTTTGGACTGTGGATCCCCCCAGCTCCAGTTCAAGGGGGATGAGGGACTCGGGGCAGGCACAGACCCTCAGGAACCATCCTCTGGCTGCTGTAGGACATTTCCCTGCTCCTCTCAGCTGTGTTTATTGGCTTTCGAGCTGCTCCATCCTGGGCTGGCTGAGGCAGCTGGGCACTGCTGGGCTAAAAATAACATAAATAAATAGAACACTAAATGAAAAGCTTCCTCCCAGCCTGGCAGGAGCAGCAGAGGCGAAGGGAGTGGGACGTGCCCTCTGAGGCGGGGCTGGGCTGGTGCCAGCGCCCCCGGCCCGCCCGGTTGCCCACAGGACCCTGCTCCTGGGGACACAGTGGCCCTTGGCATCAGGAGCGGGATGTCTCGGGTGGGGGCTGGAAGCCTGGGGTCCCCGGGGGA